GCTTCATAGTTTTATTGCTACCAAAAGCTGTCCAGGTATGCCTCCTGCTCCCAGTTTGGTTTTCAGGTCAGGATCTTGGGGCGTCTCCTTCAAATCAGACTGTCTGGTTTCAAAAACCCGGTCCTGGCTGCTCGGCCTCTTTCCTCATCTGTAAGAGGTGATAGCAATCCCCACTCACAGATGTCAGTGTGTGAGTGACTGTCTCTAGACCTCTTAGCTCAGAATGTAAGTTGAGCCCATGTGGAGCGGCTGTGGTTAGTAACATCTCTAAGATAGGAGATGACTGTATAGTTTGCCTGTGACCGGAGCATCTCCCACTTGGTTCTTGCCTTTCTGTGTTTGTTCCCATGTGTCTTAAGAACCTGCGCCTTTAAATTTTAATGCCGATTATTTGCTGCCCCCTACAGGTTAATGTGAGAAAAGCAGACTGAATTACTGCTGGCTGGCTTTGCTAGATACTCAATCGATAACCAAGTAAGGGCGTTACCAAAGTCTTTTTTTCTGAGACATTTATCTTTATCGATAACCTAATGAAATATTTGATTATCGGGGCTGGAGAGATGGCTCCGCAGTTAAGAGCACTGGCTACTCTTCCAGAGGTCCTGAGTTTAATTTCCAGCAACCACATGGCAGCTCACAGCCATCTGTAATGGGGTCTAATGCCTTCTTCTGGTATGCAGGCACACATGTAACTGTGCATTCATACATAAATAAATAAAATTTAAAATATTTGAATATCCCTTATGTGGTGGTTTGAAAAACAGCCCCCCAAAGGAGCGGCACTATTAGGTGTGGCCTTACTGGAAGAAAAGTATGTCACTGTAGAGGTGGGCTTCGAGGTTTCTCTTGCTCAAGCTTCCCTCTGTGTGACAGTCAGCTGACTTCCTGCTGCCTTCTGGTCAAGACGTAGCCAGCGCCACACATGGCCACATGCTACCTTGCCTGTGTCATGATGATAATGGGCTGAACTTCTGAAACCATAAGCCAGCCCCCTCAATTAGTTTTTATAAAAGACACCATGGTTATGGTGTCTCTTCACAGCAATAAGAACCCTAAGACACATTATCTGAAGATTTTGGGCTCCGTGTATTTCATATTTTGGTTTTTGTTGTTGTCTGGATGGGACTGGGTGGGGGGACATGTGTGTGAACTTTACTGACAGAGAATATTGGTTGAAAATCCAAACCCGGAAAATAGTCATGCTTTTCATACTGAGTGTTCCCACCCTTTCAGGTTCTTTTTGGAACAGAAGATTCCCCCATACATTAGCAATTTGATACTGTATTTATCTCCTTGCCTATTTAGACTTGCAAAATAATGTGTATTTAGAAGCATGGAAGAGCTTTTGCTACAGAAGGCAAAGTTTAATACTTGAATTCTGTTAGCACTCTTTGATTTGAGTCCTGTGTCATCAAGAACTTAGTCCCAAGCAAAACATCAAGTCAGATGATCTTAGCTTTATGTTGCATGGGCTGATGGTGACCCACATGTATGTTGCACGGGCTGATGGCGACTCACATGTATGTTGCACGGGGTGATAGCGTCTCACATGTATGTTGCACAGGCTAATGGCAGCTCGCATGTATGTTGCATGGGTTGATGGTGGCTCACTTGTATGTTGCACGGGCTGATGGGTCCTGCCCCTCACAATATGCGGTGCAGTAGCAGGCTGCTTCACAGTGATTTGGCTGGTGTTGGAATGTAGGTGCCATGACAGAAGGCAGGAGCTGCCCTCAGGGCTGGACTATGTGGACGAGGAAGTGTGGACAGATAAACCGGAAATGAGGATTCTACTCTGGAAATTGTTCTTTCCAGATGTCTTAGAGGGCACTTATCTGATTCTGTTTCAGCACTGTGAGGAGGCCTCATGACCAAGGCAGCTCTGACAGTGTTTAGCTGGGGACTTGCTTAGAGTTCAGAGGCTTCGTCGTGACCATTGTGTCCAAAAGCAGACAGGCATGGCGCTAGGGCAGCAGCTGAGAAGCTTTACATCCTGGTCTGCAGGCGGAGAGATTTGGATACTGGGCCGGGTGTAGTGACACACCTCCTCCAACAAGGCCACACCTCCTAATCTGCCCCAGTTAGTCCACCAGCTGGGGACCAGGGGAGCATTCTCATTCAGAGCACCACATTTGACTCCCTGCCCCCACAGACTTGTAGCCATAACATGATGTAAAGTGCATTCAGTCCAACTTCAGAAGATCCCTAGTCTATCAACCTCAACAGTTTAAAAGTTGAAAGGCCAGGCCTCTTCTAAGGACTGAAGGCAAACTCGGAACTCGAGCCCCTATAAAATCAAAATCCAAAACAGATCACATACTTTGAATACAAAATGGGACTGAATATGCATTACGATTTCATGAGGGGAAGAAGGGAGGCTAGTGTGGAAATACTGGACCAAAGCACGACCACACCCCAGGAGGGCAAACTCTAAAATCACGGCGCTCCATGCCTGGTGTTTGAAGCTGGTTAGATGGCTCTTCTGTCTGGCTTTCCTGACCACAGCACACTTCTTTCTCTCGGGTTAACTCCACACCCTGTATGTAGATCTTCTTGGCAGATGTCCCACATCTCTGGCATCTCCAACATCTTGGGGTGTCCCAGGAAATGCAGGCTTTCGCCTTCCAGCTTTACCCAGTGGCCTTTCCGGGCCTCCGTGCACAGACTCCCGTCACATGTCTCTGTGGCTTTCCTTAGTGCTAAGCAATTACTCACTGAGCTTTTCTACCCTTTGATTGCATCAAGAACAATCTCTGCTCCTCATACATACTTGAGTTCTGCTTGTCAGTCCAAAGTGTAGTTCCTGAACAGGCTTGCTTGTATTACTTTTGCTCCTTTAATAATTCTTTAACATCTTGTGCGTGGGCCACTGTTTTGGTACTGCTATGCTAATTATTATTATACTTATTAATTACATTTAAAAGTTAGTATGCAGTAAAACCCACATCAAATGCCTCTGTCCTGTGCACACGCCACACACGGCTCTCACTGCTTTGTTGTTTTTCTTACATGTATTATGGCGCTGGCTACCTGTTCAGCGGTGTGCATTCCCTCCTGCCTGCCTGCCTGCCTGCACACATGCCCTTCCTCTGCTGGTTGGCATCGTGCTGGGAGGGCACCCCATTGCTGATTCGGGTGGACTGTGGCGGGATGAAGACAGTGGCACTGACAGGAAGAGGAGGGGGCCTTCCTGGTCCTCGGTGCATCAGAGTCTGTGACCTGGGAATGCTGGGAATGGGTGGGCGGACTGTGGCTAGGTTGAGCTACTGGTGTACAGTTAAGAGGGCACCAGAAAGCTTAGTAATTAAATCATATGTCAGTACAACATTTTGAAAAGGTCAGAATCAATGCAAACAAAATCCACAATAACAAGAGTATCAAAAAGTTAACCAAGGCAAGGCCAGTGGCTGAATTACCAGCGCAGAGCCACTTTAGAACCTGAGGCAAAAGGCAGCGTCAGCAGGGCTAATCCTTTCTCTTCTAAGTTTGCTGCTCTGGGCTGGGCGTGGTGCTGGCGCACACCTTTGATCCCAGCACTCTGGAGGCAGAGGCCTCACACTTTGTGAGGTCAAGACCAGCCTGGTTTACATAGTTTCAGGACAGCCAGAGCTACATAGTGAGACTTTGTCTCAATTCTTTGAATTCCCTTCTCTTTGATTTTAAAAATTGGATTAAAATATGCATTAGTTTGTTTTTTGCTGCTGCAAGAAAATGCCTGAGAAAAGCAGTTCGAGAAAGAAGGGCTCATTCTAGTTCACTAGTTGACTGGCTACTCTTTGGACTTGGTGTTAGGGGCGTGAGGTGGCAGCTCGTGCTGTCCCCATAGTCAGGGAAGACAAGATGCAGGACCAGGCTGTAGAACCCCAGGGCCTGCCCCATTGGCACAGGTCCTTTGCTGAGGCTCCATCTCCTAAAAGCTCTACAACCCTTCAAAAACAGAGCCTCGGGTAGGGCCGGCAGCTCAGATATAAAAGCAGGCTTATATGGGATATTTGACATTCAAACTTTAATCAAATACAGTTGCGAGTTTTGGTGGCTATTTTGATTTTTCTACCCGATGTTTTATCTGAGCTGGCCTTTAGATGGGGCTGGACAGGGAAAGGCGAGAGCTGGAGATGCTTGCCACGCTGGCCATGCTCTAGAAGTGTGGTCTTAATAGGGGGCTCTGTTTCAGGAAGGAGTGCTGTGGGTTTGGAAGTCTCTGTGTTGTTGGTCACATCTCTACGTAGATACAGAGAGCTGTTTGTAGAACCCAGGCTTGGAACTCAGTCCTTCTGTCTCAGCCTCCGGAGCACTGGAACCGCAGGCCTGTACTGCCTTACCCCATGACATTGATGCTTAAGATTATCTCAGTGAGGTGCAGACCTCCGCTGCCTCTGCTGCCTCCGCTGCCATTTGGGAGGCGGGAGAATCGACTTCCGTTAGGGCATTTGGTTTGCTCCTTCATGAAGATTGTCTCACAGGGACTAATGAGCACACAGTCTTCTCCTGTGGACTGGTATGCAGGACTTAGAATCTTTCACCTACCCTCTGCTGATTTATTTGTGCAGTATTTTAAACTTGATGTTTTGTCGAGATAAGATCTCCTGTAACCCAGACTGGATTTAAACTTGATCTTAGCTGAAGATGGCCTTGGCTAGTGATTGTCCTGTCTCCTCCTAAATGCTGGGGTTATAAGCGTACTCACTGTGTTTAGTATAAAGGTAGGTCATGGTGGGACCCCATTCTTCTGCTCTGTCATGATTATTTCGAGATGGAAACTGAGAGTGAGTGGAAGCCGAGACTGGCACGTTTCTCAGCACAGAGTTTGCATTTGAAGCTGATGCTTTTTATCGACTCTCCCAGAGTTCCATCTTTCCCCAGGACCCCTTCAGTGTAGAGAATGAAGGGGTCTGGCTGTAACCTCAGTGACTTTGTTTGCGTTGGGACAGTGGAGCAGCTGCAGCGGCTTTAGCTTAGCTTTCACATCTGACATGGTTCTTTTCTTCTTTAACCCCAAGGTCTGCTGAAGACAGAGCCAGTGGCCGAGGAAGGAGAGGATGCCGTTGCCATGCTCAGTGCCCCAGAGAACCTGTCAGAGGAGGAGCAAGATGAGCTGAGACGGGAACTTGCTAAGGTGAGGGTCATCCTTTCTGGGCCTTTGCTTTCCCCAAAGATCCTGGTAATAGCTATGGTAAAAGGCTCAAGGGGAAAGAGAGCATCGTGAACTGGGATTACCTGGAGTCTCAGCAGGGCAGAGGAGGGAGAGGGACTCCAGTTAGTTTTTGGGTGGATCTGGGAGTCAGGTGCAGTGGGAAGTGGTGAGTACACTGTCAGACCCGTGAAGCAAGTGCTCGCCGGCCTCATCCGTGTTGTCTCTGTTATGGATACAGACAGCCTCATCCTTGTGGTCTGTGTGTGGATACAGACAGACAGCTTCCTCCCTCCTTGCTTTTCTTCTTTGCTTCAGACTTCCAGACAGATTTCTAGTTCCCTCTTTCCATAGCTTTCGTCTCTAAAATTCTTTCACTGTTGTGTTTTGTTTTTTCCAAGACAGGGTTTCTCCAGGTAGCCCTAGTTGTCCTAGAATTTGCTCTATAGACAGGTGACCTCGAACTCAGAGATCTGCCTGCCTCTGCCTTCTGAGTACTGGGATTACAGGTGTGTAGCACCACTGCCCGGACTAGACAATGATCACGATGGTCTGTTTCACAGTGCACAGGTCAGTGTCCTGTAGCATGGTCAGTGTCCTAGCTGTCCCCTCTTTCAAGTTATGAGCATTGTTCCTATTCCAAGGAGCCCCCTGCACTCATCGAAGGGCCACTTAGCTGCCTCCTCTTAGCTGTTTTTCTCCTCTGTGGATTTAACTGTTTTCTGGATAGTTCATATACAACACGTGACCTCTGTATCTTGGCTTCCTTCAGCAGTGCAGTCAGGATCAGGATTTTGGAGCTCATTCCTGCTGTGCCATCTGTCAGTAATTCATTCCCTTTTCATGGCTAATAATAGTCCATTGTGTATTTGTTTACCATATAGATATGGTATTGTATTGTTCGTTTGTCTGGTAGCCAGGTATATTATTGACAGCTGTAGATAGTGAACCAATAACATTTATGTACAAATGATCTTTTTGAGTTCTATTTTGCGTGTGCTTAAAAGTAAGATGATTTCACCATACAGTAATTCTACATTGAATTACATTTTAATAATACATTTATTTATCTATTTCTTTGTGTGTGTGCGCGCACCCGTGCACACATATGGAGGTCAGAGGACAGCCTGCAGGAGTAAGTTCTCTCCTTCCCCCAGATGGATTCCAGGGCTGGTACACAGGTTTGGTGTCAAAGCCCACGTTTTAACTTTGTAACGGCGTCACCAAACTGTTCTCCGTAGCAGTGACGCTGCTTTCCATTCTCGTCCCGATTTGTTCACATTCGTAGAAAACATGCTCCTCCCGCATCCTTTTATTAAAGTGTGTGTGTCAGTGGGTGAGAAATGAGATCCCACTGTGGTTGTGATTTGGATTTCCTCCTGTGACTGGTGATACTGAGCCTCTTGGCATGAGCTTATTGGCCATTTGTATATTTTTGGTAAAAAAAAAAAATACTCATTAAGTCCTTTGCCCATTTAAGAAATGGGTTGTTTTTCAAATGTAAGAAATATATATATATTCATATGTATAAATTTATATAAAATTATATAAATTTATAATATATTTATATATATTCATATTCTGCACCCTTACCAGATTTGTGATGTCCAAGCATTTTCTTTTACTCTATAACTTACCTTTTAACTTTCTTACAATTAAAGAAATGATAGGAATTCAATTTGAAATACATTTCTTAATGTAGGTGTAGAAATTTCAGGAGGGATTTTTGTGTTTGGAGGAAGCAGGTCCACATATATGCACGTGGAGGCCATAGGACACCCGCAGGTCCACATGTATGCACGTGGAGGCCAGAGGACACCCGCAGGTCCACATGTATGCACGTGGAGGCCAGAGGACACCCGCAGGTCCACATTGTATGCACGTGGAGGCCAGAGGACACCCGCAGGTCCACATGTATGCACGTGGAGGCTAGGCTGCTACAGTGGATGTGGACCGAGCAGTCCCGTGTGAGGGGTTAAACCCCAAGGCTTCTGAGATAACAGCAGACAGCTGACAGCATAGAGGGCAGCTCTACAGGAGAGCACTGTGTAGCCCGCTTACTAAACAATGCTGTTTGTAAAGACACATAAAATTAATACAAAATTAACTGTAGTCAGGTGTGGTGGTGCACACACCTTTAATACTAGCACTTGAGAGACAGAAGCAGGTGGACCTCTGTGAATTTGTTTGTTTGTTTGTTTTCATTTTATGATACAGGATTTCTCTTCTGGGTAACCCTAGCTGTCCTGAAACGCCCTGTGTTATAGACCAGGCTAGCCTGGAATTCAGATCTGCCTGCCTTTGCCTCCCAAGTACTGGGATTAAAGGCTGTGCCACCACCACCCAGCAAGATCTCAGTGAATTTGAGGCCAACCTGGTCTATAAAGAGTTTCAGCTAGCCAAGAATGCATAGTGAGATTCTTCTCTTAAGTGAACAAACCATCTCCCCAAAAGTAATGATAGTGTCTGAGCATGCTTTGCTTTGATGCCCTTAATAACTTACAGAGCAATCCTTGCTGTATTTTCTCCTCATCCCTGTTCCTCATAGGTGGAAGAAGAAATCCAGACTCTCTCTCAAGTGCTGGCAGCAAAAGAGAAACATCTTGCAGAGATCAAGCGCAAACTTGGGATCAGTTCACTTCAGGAATTCAAGCAGAACATCGCCAAAGGGTGGCAAGACGTGACCGCGACCTCTGCGTATGTTTCCTTGGTGTACACACTTCTAGACGATGTGAAGGATGCGTTTGCACCTTTTCTTTGGGGAGAGGAGGAGGAGGGGCATGAGGACGTTTGCACCTCTTTTCTTTGGACCACACAACCCTTTCTTCCAGTTCTTCAGAGCATTCGACTATTTTCTAATGTTAGTTTTCCTGAACATTCTAGGTAGTAGAGAGCAGAACAATCTCATGTGCTTGTGGTTGTGGGAACAATATTGAAGTTCCAAAAGTGTTGGATAGTAGTCTTCCTTCCTGTGTGTGTTTTTTCTTCTTCCTCACAGTCAGAAAATATTAAATGGATAATTCTAGGCATAAAACTCAAGTTTTAAATTGCATGCTATTCTGTGTAACTTGACTAAATATTTTGCCATCTTGTTTTGTACAGCTTGGGACATGATTCATCCCCTTTTCCATTGTACCCATGCTGTATGCACCACCCAATCCTTACTCATTTCGTGGCCATTTAAGAGAAGGCAGCATGGTATAGCTAGGGTTCAGTGTAAGCAGTGATGATTGGCATCCACTAGTGATCTTATAGCATACTGCCATCAGCTTAGGGAGGGGACGTCTGTATATTGGCTTTTCCAATATGTACACAGTGATATTTAGTCCCCAGAACCTAGTAGATTAGGTGATGAGATAACCCCAGATAAGGTAAATAAGGTGTTTAGCTCAGATAAATGAAATTTTTAATACATGTGCAGCTTTTGTGGGGGGAGAGGACGTTTGAGTTTGTGAGCCCTACTGCTTGGTCCATTCCTTTCAAGGCTTCTGTTCAGGGCACTGCAGAAGACTGTGGCAGAGGGATTATTGCTACTCTGATGGTTAGAGAGAACATTAGATGTTCTTAAACTGTCCTGTACTTGAGTTTCTCAGTAGGTGATGGCACTGTGCTGGAATTTATAGGAAAGCCTGACTGACCCCCCACTCCTGTTTAATCATGTTTGACTGTAGATACAAGAAGACATCTGAAACCTTATCTCAGGCTGGACAGAAGGCTTCCGCTGCATTTTCATCGGTTGGCTCAGTCATCACCAAGAAGCTGGAAGATGTAAAGTAAGTATATACGTTTTCTCTTGCTCACCTGGTAGTCGTGGCAAACTGAACTGGTGCTGGGGTCGCTGTTGGTTCCTGCCTGTGGGTTGGGGTGCTGCTGGGTTCCCTTCTGTTATAGGGAGGGAGGGTTTGCCTTCTTCCCAAGGCCTGCAGTGCGTGCCTGAATTTTTAGGCCTACCTAGTATTCTAAGCTCCAGAATGAGTTTCTCGTGAGTCCCTTTAAGGGCTGTTGAAAAATTCTGGTTGCAAACTTTTGCATCTCGGTCCTTCTCAGTCCTGCGGTGTCAGTCCGTCTCTGGTGTTTGCTAACGTGGGTGTGGGCAGAGCCGGGCGTCTTTCTGGGGACGAGTACTGAAGAGCATGCTGGGCCTGAGGGCGTCACTGTGTGTGTGTGGCATTTGTGTGTCATGGTGTGGCTCCCGGATGCTTATGTGTGCACTGGTTTGTACTAACCCATAAGCTTTACATACACCCACACTCAGGCCCAGGTCTTCATTTTGAGTTTCTCTTTTTAAACTGTGCATTTATATTTGGGAGTAGTTTGCAGAATGTTTCTTGTCATGTTGGTGAAGCCGCTTCGTGGTGTTCTTGTGCTCCATCTACCGCCATGATTGGAATAGTGCCAACATGGACAACATGGCTTACGTGGGCTCTGCTTCTGTTGGTGTGCACACTTCCTGTTCGTCTTTTCCTAAACCCAGATTGCATGACTTTGCATTTTTTATCTGTGGGGAAAATAGGTTTTACAACCAGAATTTTGTTAGTTGAATTGGTTTGTTCAATATTTTATACTGTGTATTAAAACCCATTTCTTCATTCATCACATTTGATGAGCACCACTGTTGTAAGCATGGCACCGTAAGGAGAGATTTCCTGACCCTCAGACAGTCGTGTGTGCAGTACCTACCAGATGTCCTCAGTTCTTCCAATGCTGACTGACTCTTCAGTGCGTTAGGGGCTATGTAAAACATGCGCCCTTATAAAAACAGGTTATTTTATTGTGACGGATTCGTCAGAACTTCCTTTCTGTTTTAATGCTTCCTCTGGCTTCTTACAGATTGCAAGCCTTTTCACATTCCTTTAGGTAAGGAGAGCAAAATGCCTGCTGCGGCCACGCATCTGTGTGAGATGAGCGTGCGAGAGCGGATGTTGATGCCTTGCTGGATGCTTGTGTGTGTCCACTGTGATTTTCCTGCACTCGCGGTAGCTCAGACCCGAGTGTTTCTTACTCCAAGGGAGGGTTCCTCGTGTGCCATGTGTAATGAACCAGTAGAAAGAAGAATTTGATACTGCTGCACAAGGGATATGGAAATGATTTTTGAAGTTTCAGTTATTGTCATTATGTTTACCATGGCATACAGAATTCCTCCCTTTTGATGTCTGACTTTGTTTGGTTTTGATGCTTTTGTTTCTTTGGTGCTTTTGTAAGGATGTTGGAATTCTCCTTCATGTGTGTCCTATTATGTAATTATAATAGACTGCATGTGTGCTGTCTCGTGGTCGTCGTCCATCTTATAAAGGTTTCAGTACTCTTCTTGTGTGTGGTAAGACAGACGTCAGATCTTACTCACCATGGACTTTTCAATATTTGTCTTATTAGCTTATAGATTTTGCTGTTTTATTATTTTCCGCTAGCTGTTCTTTAAGCATACAGGGAAGTTTTATGATGTGTCAGGGTATTAGAAAGTACAGGCTGTGTCCTGTAGGTGTCGCTGTGACGATTCTGATTATGTGATTATAAATGTAGGCTTTGGAGGAGACAAGTGGAGATCTTAAGAAGTAAGCAGGAAGGGTGTCTCTGTCTCCATCTCTCTTCTGCCTGGAGTACATCATTGCCTTAAGGGGCTCATGCTATGATTTAACTGCCACTGTTTCCCCCCTTCCTGTCTCCCTTTCTGGTTATTCTTAAAGTCAGATTACAAAGTGATGACTTTCATATGCGTTTGCATATGTATGTGTCATTATATTTTCTCGTTATTCATCCTGGCTTCTCCCACGGCCATCTCCCAACCTGCTACGGACCGGCTCAGGGGAGCCACTCAGACCGTGAGGGAATCAGGGCAAAGGACAGAAGATTTCAGGATACAGCGGAGGAATTGACAGACAGACCATTCTCAATGTATTTTTGAAAATGCTGCTGTGTTTTACTTTTTCAGTGCGAGGTTTTTATATTATTACAAACAAAGAACTTGGCAAAGGCATACATCATCAGATCATAAAAAAAAAGCATACAATAGTTTACAAAAAGAATCTTTGAAAATGCTTTGACTTGGGCACAAGGACTTTCACCCAGTCTGTACCAGACGACTGGCAGGGCTAAATGACCTTGTGCTCAGAATATCTTGGGGTGTGAGAGGAGAAGGCCACTATCTTCTTGGGAAAACTTTCTGCTAGGAAATTTTAGACATGATCTCAAACTTGTCTGAATCTGGTTTCATACCATAAATCTCAACTTTCTTCCCTCCCCGACTCTCAGGGTCAGATGTTGTAATTAGCCTAGGTTTGTTCTGGCCATAATGAAGGCTGCATAGGCCTCCTGCACATAATTCTCAGGCAAACATCTAGTGTTGCTGCAGCTGTTTTCCTGCAGAAGGCTTCTAAGGTTTCTCCTGATAAGAGCAACTCCTTTTGCTCCACATCATTAAGGAATTATTTTAACGATGACTCCCCTATTTCCAGAACTGGCTATTTCTTTAAAGGCTTTAATGAATAGGGGCGCAAAACTCAAAAATGTCCTCAGCAGTCTTGTTTGTATCCGCAACTGCCTGGAATAGTCTGATCTGTTAGCAATATGCAAGGATCACAAAGAACACACAGACAAGGCTAAAAGACAGACATATAGCACCAAGTACAGTCAGGTCGAGTCAGTACAAATGGCAACTCAGGTAGCATTACACCACAACTGATTGCCAAGGGACAGCCCAGGACACAACTCTGAGAAGTGCGGATCCTGATCCTTCCGGCAATATTTGCCCATCCAGTCAGCATTTCTGCTACACTGGCGAGACAGCCGTGGATGTAGCACCAACCCCCCTCGCTGCTCTCTTCTACCCTTCCATGGTTCTCTAATCTTCTTTCATGGCACATGAATTCCATCATCCTCTGCTTTTTCCTTCTTTCCTCCCTCCCTTAAGGTCTCCTTCTTCTCTGGGTCTCCTTTCTGCTCCCTCCCTTCTCTTGGATAAGCCAACAGATACAGACAGCTCTAATTTTGGTTACACCTAGTCCTGGAAATCAGAATAAATCATAGAGATGCATAAACTCAGCTGAGCTATTTAAAGATTGTGATTTTAAAAAATAATCAACTAACCAATGCTAATAAGCAACTGTGGGAAAAATGGCCTAAGTGTTGGAGGCAAATGAATAAGAATTTAGTCAGATACACCATTCTAGCCCAAGAATGCCTGCTGTGGCCGGGTCTGAAGGCTGTACCCACAGACAGACAGCTGTTGTTAGAATAGGTATCTTTGAGTGGTGGTGGTGGGGGGAGACGGGTAGCCAGGGCCTTGGGATGCCTTCAGAAAGCTTGCAAGTACTCAATCATCAAACATTGTCTTGTATGATATTAACACAAAACAGATATAGCACTATGCAAGGCCTGTGGAAAATGGCATGCTCTATCTTACAGATTGCTCTTCTGTACGCACACGGTTAGCAAGGTTAAAGCTGATGTGTATGTGGTCAGTGTGTGCTATCATGGTACATCAGAAACAGAGTTTGCTCTTCTCAATGTTTTTAGGTCATCTTATTTCCCTTAGAAATAGCGATTGCACTGCAGTATTTTTAAGTGAGTAAGTTTGGTTCTTTGAGAGTTTCGTGCAGGTGTAAAGTCCTTTCCCCCTCCCAGTCTTGCTTCTCTCCCACCCCTGCCAGTCCTCACTCCTCTTCGCGGGTATCTTTCCCATATTCATTAGTTTTGGTTTAGTGTCCTACTGAGTTTCCCTAGGGCCGTCTGTGCTACCCTGGGTTTGGAGCCAACCATCGCAGCATTGTGGGCTCACCAGTGTGTATACAAGTGGATATTATGCCTTCCCATCTCCCAGAATCCATTAGCTGCCAGCAGTTCAGCAGCAAGACCCCATGAGTCCTTTCTCTTTCCATAGCAGACTTCTATACAGACGGCCACCGCCGTGTCAGGCTTACGAGGTGACATTTCTTAGCCTTCTCCATACCTTCCAGCTCTTACGTTCTTTCTGCCCCCTCTTCCACAAAGTTCTTGAACTTCAAGAAGGTGGTGTGTTTGTTTCTACCGACAAATAGTGCATATCACTATGTGGAAATCAAGTCTTTTGATCAAAACTTAGCTATAAGAAAAAGAATTCTGTTCTGAACTTGTAATTCTTATAGAGCAGAGATCAGCTCAAGTCAGTTAATCTAGTTTCATGTTTTCAGACATACAAGGAAAACAAGTCCGGTCTTTCAGATCATAAAGGTCATGAGGCAAACTGGCCACACTGCTCCAGGAACCGTCCAAGGGGAAAGGCTGTTTCCCGGCCCTAGCAGCGTGGCCCCGTCTGGGGCTTCCAGTGGGAGCTAAGAGGATGGATACCAGAGATCCCTCGTGCCAACTGCTCTGAAACAGACGGTTAATCCCATTAACTGTTCTGAGTCCCCCTCGTGAGGCACACCCGAGACCAGTGATTTCATGCCCCTGTAGTTTGGGATGCAGGAAGAGCTGTGCACTGCTTTTGCTGACTCGGAGGTTTCAGCATCAGGTTTTCGCCTTATAACATCGTCAGTTAATGAGGTGACGGTTGAGATTTAGATATTTGTAATTTGGCTTGGTTAGGGGTGGGATGGGGAGGGGAAGGAGAGGAGGATAAGTGGGGGTCAGGGAGGAAATGTATGAGAGCTCAGCCTGGCTGGGATCCTGGTGGGACAAGTCCCATGAGGCCCTTGGGGACAGCCATTGGCCACGCCTGAAAGTAGCATGCACATTTCCACATCTCCATTTCCACCTTTTCCCCGTACGTACAGGTAGCACATTGAGTCTTGCTTTAGAAGTCCCTTCTCATTTTAACTACTGCTGCCTTTAAACACAGGCGATGGTCTCATGGCATTCTGGAATGATTTATTTTGTTTCATTTCTTACATATTTACAAAGAAATGCTAATTTATTTTGTGTTTATTTCAGAGGACATTTTCCTTTCAAATGAGTATTTCTTCATGTATGTACATACCTCAATTTTTAAAATTTGTTTTGGGGTTTATTAGGGTCATTCTAAACAATTCTTTTTTGCTGGAAACTTCTGCTCTTTGTGGGAAAAGACAATATCTTTCCTTCTCCATGAAATATTATCTTTCGATTAGGAACTGAATCGTCGTAATAACTTCCTCTACCTTCCACATCCACATTTCCCCGTTTGAGTTAGCCAGGGGGTTTGTTCATTCTGGTGTAGCTGTTAAATGATAGCCTTGCCCTAGACTGTAGGGCTGGGACTAAGAACTGCTGACACTGGGAACTTTAGAGACATAATCGACTATGAAAATGACGTGATAATGCCTCAGGGTTAAAAGCTGGGTAAGAAGATCTGAGCACTTCCCAAGCAAGCGTGGTTATTGCTCTGATATTACAGTTGGGAGAACATTGAGCTAGAGGGACAGTAAATGACTTGAAGGCTGCAAAGCCAGTGTAAGTGGATGATGGTGAGGTTTCGAATCCAGCGTCCTGGACCCTGAGCTGACTCTCTGCTAAGAGCACTGAGGTTGAGAGCGATTCCTGATCCCTGGGTATTGACCAGCATTCTTACTCTCGTATTGCTTACGTCAGAGGAGACTGAGAGCCACGTGGGACCGCTGTTGCAGCCATGGCTGCCATCTATGCAGCAGGCACCCATGCGTTAGCCGTTGTTCCTCTCTGCATAGTCCTTCTTTCTCTTTCTTTCTCTGTTCATCCTCATTTGTAGAGATGGAAAGACCGGGCAACAGTATCAGAGACCAGGAAAAAACTAAGTAATTCAGCTTTAAAAGAAATACTTTATTTTATGTGCGTTGGTGTGAAGGTGACAGATCCCCTGGAGCTGCTGGAGTCCCACTTGTGAGCTGCCATGTGGGTGCTGAGATTTGAATCTGCGTCATCTGGAAGAGCAGCCCAGCTCTTAACCGCTGAGCCATCTCTCTAGCCCGAATAGTTCGGCTTTTTAAAAGAATGAGCTTTGCAAAGTCAGAGTGACTCTGAGGTGGACAAGGACTCATTGAGAACCGGCCCGCCCTGCGCTGTGTCGTTATGTTTGGAGACGCCTTACTTTGTACCCTGCTTTGCGGGTTACAAATCAAGTGGAGATTTTGCCTTGTAGATGTGATGGGTCCCCCACAGCTTGGCTGTTAAGCCATGACTCTGGCTTTTTGGTGTAGAAGGTTCTGTATTGAATTCAACTTTGGATGAAATAGGAAATGATAGTATCAGTTGAGGAAGCTTTGTGTAACTTGGTGTAGAGGAGCCAAGGATGAAAGAACAGCTGCCCACCAAGTGAAATGTCTTCTGGATGTGACTGCAAAGGGGATTAGCTAATGAGTGGGCTTGGACTCACGTACATGCCTTGTCCTTCCCACTAAGATGGCTCTCAGAAGCAGAGACCTTGCCTTCAAAGCCATCTCTGGCAATTGATCTCATTCTGTTTTTGTTTTTATAGCTACAGAAAAGTATTCCGATTTATCCCAGTGATTTTTTTTCCCACAAAATAAGCCTTATTATAAACAGGTCCTTGTCTTTTCCTATATATTGTCTGAGGCATATTTAATATATCTTAGCTTGTGTGCTGCTGAGAAAACCCAGCCGCCTGGCTGCTAGGGGAAATAAAAACTTCTTATATGGCTGTCGGAACAGTAACTAGATTTGTCTGGGACTTTTAAAAGCTTAAACTTTACCCACTATTTCCTCATTTTGTTAATATTGTTAAACTGTCTGAATGCCACGCACAGTCATTTATCATACTTGGCCATTACTCACCTTCCGTGGCCAGAGTTTAGTAGCTTCTCTTGAAGTGAGTGTTCTGGTGAAGAGTGCTTTCGTGGAGGAAAATGACATGTATTAGCTTAGTGCAAAGGGGAAGACTTTGCACAAATATAAAAACAGTGTTGTAAACCAAGGAGTGGGGAGAGGCAAGCCCAGCCCCACCCCACTCAAACCAGCCCAACTACTCGAAAAGCAAAAAGCTTGGGAAATTGAGGTAGCACCTGGCCACCTAGGCAATCCGAAAGTGTGCCCTCTCCAACTCAGGTGTACCTGCACAACCAACCGTCTCTCCCTCCTAACCGTGTCTGCGCTTCCCTTTCTCTATTCTTGGCAATCAGGCTTCCCCCGAGTTCTTAGGGCTCGTTCATGGTCTGGCAGTTCCTCCACAGACTTTAAGTTGATGTGGTTTCCAGTTCAAAGATCCGCTTCCTGCCGGATTTCAGGATCTGTCTGTTGTGGCAGTTCCCACACCCCATTCGGTGCTGACAGTCTGCATCTTGGCAGGAGGTTAGAAGTGTTGAGGGTGCTCCCCGATGTGTCACAGGAGTTGGGGTCAAAGGTGTTTTGTGGGTGTTGGCTCTTCCCAGCCCGTTCTTTAGAAGGGCCCAAGGAAATCCATGTGATGATTCAAGTTATACTGTAAAGAATTTACGATTGTTTTCATTAATCTGTGCCCTACAATTAGTGTACTTGAGAAGATCAAGTAGAAGAATTGGTAACTTCCTCCAGGGTAGTTCATGCCCAGAATGCAGTCATAGCTCGCGCCCCCTCTGTTGGGTGGAGAACTTACGGTGTGACAGATGGCATAGAGGTGTCCCGATTCTCTTTGTTCCAGAGTTTTCATCCTGTACATCCAGATCAGACTGTGTGTAATTAGACAGTATATGTCAGGCTAGACTTGATAGCATATAACACGTTGCCATCTGTAACAGCAGTCTTAGGCGTAGACTCACAGATTCTTTTCAGTGCCACTAAGGATTGATGTTTGAACTGTTCGCTTTACCAAAAGGAAAGATTACTTAACAGTTTGAACAAGAGCAAAGGTTTTTTTATTATTATTTTTTTTTTCGGAGCCCAAGAATGAAGATATTTTCATCTTTCTAGGGAAGGTAGCTCAGAGCAGGCTCAGACGCTTTGCCAATCAGTGGACTTACTGTTATGGGGTAGAAGTTAAACCCCTGAATACAGACAGAGCTGAATGGTACTTGAACGATCTTGGGGGGAAGTCTTGAGACCAAGTGTAAGCATCTCTTAGTGAAGAACTGATGCGGTTACTGCTAAGGAGTGCTTTGGAATTTGTGATTGCTTAGTTACCAAATAGGTGATAGATTTAGAAACTGGCCCATTCCAGCGCTGAAACAGATACCACTGTGGCCCTTCAGGGTTGTGTATGTGTGCGCGTGTGCATGTGCATGTGTGTGTATGTGTACACCTCATTTTTGAGGGGTGGTGGTGAACCCTGAATGGGACTCCTAAAGGTCCACGTTCCACTCTCAGTTTTCTGCTGTCCCTTGGGTTACGATTTGGCCTCTGAGCCTTGAGCCTTCTAGATCCGGTAAAAGCACTTGACAGTTTTTACAGCGCTGGGGAGGACATACTTGTCTATTAGCGCTGATAATGATTGGGTTGACATTGACTTATGAATGGAAGTAAATTCTTGTGGCATAGCTTTGATATTGCCCTCTCACCTCAAAAAGTAGACCATTGTTCACAGTGCCTAAAGAATGAGCTACCAGAAGCTTCATTAATCAGAAAGTGGGTCAGCTTCTTTTGCTGGATCACTGCATACTAACTTGTTTCTGTCTTCCTTTAATGCTGCCTCTCAGTATACGCTCCATTCAGCATTCGATTAGCATGCCTGCTATGAGGTAACGTATGTCCTTACAAGATGCTTCCTGCCTGATGTACGGATGCTCAAACCACTGACTAGGGAGCTAGAATTCTGTCTCCTAATAGCCTGTGCATTAACACTGTACAATCTACAGTTACTTTTCTTACAATGTTGGGATAGATTCATGAGATCCAAAACGTGATTTTTCTTTTTTAAGAATTACTATTTCAGTTACTATAAAATCTCTATTCGAAACCAGCTGACTTGAAAAGCGCATGCCAGCGTAGAATGAAGCTGTCTTAGTGGTTCAGGGTTATTTTGTCCCTTCTCTGTGAGCTTTGGTTCAACCCCCACCCTAGCTTCCAGCCCCCAACTCTGCTCATCCTAGAGTGGCCTTTGGAGCCAGCTTTCATCAGCAGGCATTGGTAATCAGCCATAATTTAGTCTGCCTAGGGAGCAGAGGCTCCAGAACAGTAGAGATCCCTGGCTTGCACTTAAGTCTATACAGGAAGCACCTGGAGGGTAGCTGCACTGTTGCACGCCAGAACCACACCCCTAGAGTTTCTGAATCTAGAGTAGGTGTTGGGCTGAGAGTTCATTTTCCTAGTGTGTTCTTGAGAGCTGCTAATACAGTTGGCCTGGGGTGGGGGAGGTGGGGTGTCACATGTAACAACCACTGGCTTTGTTCCCCTCTGTGCCCTTCTAACGTTGTAACATGTGGGTATTTAAGGTTCTATGTAGGATCCCATGGGTGAGAGACAAAAGCCTAAAGTGTAGAGGAGAGATAAGTTTCTGAACTCTCTGCTTTCTTTGGGTTCCTTCTCTGACACTATTCTTTTGGAATTAGGATCCCTGGAAATCTGTGTTTGTCTTGATGGTGTAGTGTGCTGTGTGCTCTTGTGGGAATCTTGCCCTACAAGAAGAGGCGCTAAATCAGAGTTCAAAAGTATACTGCTAAGTTCAGGGGATCTCACAGTGGCATTTTCTTGGTTCTGGTGAGTCTTTAGGAAGGTGACAGCGCTGGTGTTGTCTGCCTTCTTCCTTTTCTGTACCTGCTTATATGACAGTATCACTTATATCTTAGAGTGACTGTCTTCATGACAAATGTAGAAGTATTAGCCCAGAAGCTGGTTCACACAGGAAGTGTGTGTGTTGATACCTGTGCACATATATGCAGATAAATACCTACTCTTGGTAATTATGAATATCAACAAAGAGAAATGCAATTGTTTCTGATTCTTCAGAGACTTTTTCTTCACAGTGGTTGTAATTTTATTTTTTTCTATCTTCATAGAAACTCCCCAACTTTCAAGTCATTTGAAGAAAAGGTTGAAAACTTAAAGGTAAGTACAGAGGTACACTATCTTCATGATACACTGTTTGCTACCTTCTGTCATTTCCATAAAGCTTTAGAGAACTTTAAGAATTGTACCCTGCATGCCACTAATGGACACTGCATGGTTTTTTTTCGTTTTCTTGTGATTTTTTTGGATAACATAAAACTGCAATTTTTCATGCATTTTTTTAAATTTCAAATATTCTATAATTAAACAAGAATTTGTGTTGTTTTTTCATCTAGAAATTACACAATATTAAAGAGTTAATATAAATATTAGTATTTTAATATGATAATAGATATTAAAATATGAAAAATTAGTCACTGTCTTTTCTATTTAAGGGTATTTTCTTATTGTATAGCAATTTCACACATTTATAAAGTGTATCTTGATCATATCTATCTCCTTTGATTCCCCCATTGGAGGTACACATCCTTCCATAATGAGTAGCTTTATAAATTGTGTTATTTCCAAAATTATGACCAAGTAATCAACCCTGAGAATTGGGCATAGTGGCTCCTGTGTTTAATCTCAGCACTTGGAGGCTGAGGCAAGAGCATTGCCTCGAGTTTGATGCTTGCTTGGGCTACATGCCCTGTCACAAAACCACCAAAACAGAAAACAAGCAAGCCAAGCCAAAAGATTCTGTGAACTCTTAGAGTCACAAATGATGCCCATGTGTGCCTAGTGAAAATTCCTGATGCTCCGTTCCAGTGTTTGTGTGCAGCCTGGGTGGCGTCTTTTTATCCAACTCTCTTCATTGCACTGGATATAGTTTGGAGCTGACATATTATTATTTTAAATAAGTGAGCCTCGCCTGGCAGTCTCATTTATATAAATGATACACACCTGGAATTTCAGCACTTGAGAGGTAGAAAAGGAGGACTGTGAGTTCAAGACCATCCTTGGCGAGAGAGAGAGAGAGAGAGAGACCTTATTCAAGAACATAAGTTAAAAAAAACCTCATATTTATTTTAGTCTTTCAGAACACCAGAAGAGTCACTTATTCTTAAAAGTATCTTACATAGCTGGGGGCTGGTGGCACATACCTTTAATCCTAGCACTTCGGCAGCAGAGACAGGTGGATGTCTGAGTTCAAGGCCAGCCTGGTCTACAGCACTAGTTCCAGAACAACCAAGACTGTTAGACAATGAAATGCTGTCTTAAAAAGAAACAAAAACAAAATACACCAACAGCAAAAAGAAAAAAGGTGTCTTATATGAAAAGGCAGAATTTACTTACTGAAAGATCAGACACTGTGCAGTGATCTGGATTTTAGCTTGGACCTCTTCTCTGTAGAATCACACTGTACACACAGTCTTACAGCTTCCTGTTTGTGAACCCACGATTGCAGGGACCCTTCATTTTGTTCAATAATACTGCTTAGGGGCCTCAATAGCCCTTGGCTTGTTGCATGGTGTGCACTGGATGAATACATACATCACACTCATGTTTCCAGGTTGGTACATGAGACTGGCTTTCTTCATCTTGGTGTCAGGTCATACATCTGAAAAGAAGCTGCATGCAAAAAGAGTCACGGTTTGCAGTGACTCAGTTCTCCAGACTGTTTGGACTCTCCCTGCCTCTCTTTCACATCTGTCTTCTTAGTTTTTGGAATAGCTCATCAGAAATCAGCAGCTTATGTGCATTTGATCCCAGAGATGAGGAAGCACTACCCAGCCACTTGCTATATTAACGATCTATGGGTTCCAGTATAGTCCATTTGTCATATCCGACTTTGCATGTTTTGGATGATGTCTTAGTCATGAAACACCATGACCAAAAGCAAGTCGGGAAGAAAAGGAACTTAAACATAGCTTGCTCCCCATGATTTGCTCAGCCTGCCACCTTATAGAACCCAAGACCACCAGCCCAGGGGTGACCACACTCACAATGGGCTGGGCCCTCCCCCATCACCTACTTATTAAGAAGATCCTATATGGGCCTGCCTACAACCTGGTCTCATGGAGACATTTTCTCAATCGAGATTTCCTCCTGTCATGTGACTATAGTTTGGGTCAAGTTAACATAACTGTCCAGCCCAGATGAAAAACATAAAAAGTAACATTCCAAAGTCTATTGAACAGTTATTGCTAAAGACATTTGTAGTCATATGCCTTGGATAATTTTGCCAAAGTATACTTAGAGTCGTTTAAGCTTTGTGTCAACATGTCTGTGCACTGCGGTTTTGGATGGGTTCAGTTTCCTGCAGTTTTTAGGTATGTGGGTAGCTATGACGGGGACAGCTGAGGGCACCATGCAGACCTGGAGGGAGAGCTGCTGAGAGGCAGGAGTTGCGATCTAGGCAAAGAGGACAGTGAAGGATCCGGGTGGTCTAATGGGACTAAGCATAGGAGGGAGACCAGGAGTAAGCGGTATGCTGTGCACCGGAGACTGGCTCACGCGCAGCTCATGTGTTGGGCCAGTTAGCTATGGAGGTGCTGTTGCTGAACATTTCTTTTTACATGTTTAAATTTAATAGTAAGATACATAATATTTCAATCACTCTTACTTAGAATTTTATAGAGCAAGCAGTGAAGCAAAACAATATAAAGATTATTTTCTTGGAGGGTTTCATTGGCTCTTCTGAAGAGGAGAGATGAATGGAAGAGCAGCCCACTGTGGGGAGTTCCTTTACTTCTGCTAAATTGCCAGGAGTTGTAACAATTTTTATAGTTAAAGACATATTTCAGTGAATTTAATAGTGCATGTAAGTTATGCAGAATATCTAAGTCAAAACTTGAATGGCAGATGAAGAGAGAAAACTTTCAGTTAGATTCCAGTTTTTAGACTCGCCCACTGAATTAAGACTGGGGAAACCGGAAGTTCAAGTTGAATCCACCGAGCATGCATTCTTGGTCACTGCTGGTTTCCTCATGTAGCTCTCGTGTTGTCTAGTCATTACATGTAACAGGCAGCGAGCACTGAGAAGCATGAAGTGACATACTAGTAACAGATGGGGTTTTGGACCCGAGACAGTGCCTCACAGGAACTTACAGTATAGCCCAGGCTAGAGACCAAACTTCCGGCAGTCCTCTGCCTTAGCCTCCCAAGTGTTGATGTTATAGGCACGAGCCACCACACCCATCTAGGCGTTTTGGAAAAAAAAAAAATCAGGCATATGTAGCATTCAAACCGATACTGATTGACAGTTTCAGGTCTGGGAGGTTGGAGTAGGGCGTCACAAATTTCTAGTGTACCTCTGGCATTAAGATTCCAGTTCCGACTCCGTGTCTGACAAGCCCCCAGATGATGCTGAATCTGTAGGCAGACTTATGTAGGAAATGGCTGAGAACCCTACAGTGCACCAGGAAAGATACTTTTATCTTCCATTTGTTGTGTCTTACGGTTAAACTACCCCGAGCGCTACAGCAGCACGTAGATCCACACGGACGTAGTCGTGAGACGCCCAGTTTGTTCCTGAAAGTCAGTTTAGAGTTTCTTTCTGCAGAGGTGGTTAATTTTGCTTCATGATGTCTTCTTCTCTTTTCCCCACTTTTAAAGTCTAAAGTAGGGGGAGCCAAGCCTGCCGGCGGTGATTTTGGAGAGGTCCTGAATTCCACCGCGAACGCTACTAGTGCCGAGGCCACGGAGCCACCTCCAGTGCAGACGGAGGCCATGCCCTGAGTTCCTGCTGCTCATATCCTGCTGCCCACTGCCAGGTGCTGCAAGGGACATCAAGCACATCTTGTCAGTGTTCATGGCCACAGATTTCGACCAGATGTGCTTTCATTTAGCTTTACTTATTTCTTTGACCAAATAGTTTGTGAATTGAACGAAGTGGGAGCACGTTCGCCTCCACGCCAGGGAAACGCCCCTTGTAGGAGACGGCAGCACTCTGGGGTGACAGGAAGCTGCCGGTGACTGTAGCCTCGGTTTTACAGAATCACTCCACATCTGGGATTCTTTTCGATCCTTTTCTATACAAGTCATTTTTCCTTTTTGAGTCTGTTATACTTGATTTCTAACTAAAATTGTTCTTCTAAATTCTGGTAATTAAAAGTTTTGGAATTATTTTGTTACTTTTAAAGGAGAGACCACCAGCTACACTTTTTTTTTCCTGGGATAAACAGTTTTTGTATGTGGACCATATCTTGGGTTTCTGAGCACACCAGACTAAAGCAGACAGGTGTGTACATACTTGAGTAGTTCTGCAGTTAAAACCATGCAGAAACTCAGTCTGCCAGTGGCATGAGTGTGGGGTCCCCCCATGTCCTTGGTGATTAGCAGCTACCATTTCAACATACTCGTTATTTATTATGCCACTCTTACACATTTTTTATAAGATTAAAATTTAATTTCAGGCAAACTGACAAAATAACATTGTGAGTCAAGCATATATTACTATACGTTGAAATGTGACCACACTTGTCACTGATAATTCCAAAAGTCTAAAAATGTGTTTAGGTCTAGATTGCTGTAAAAATGCTAAAATCGATCACCGTAGGGGAACTTGCTGCCTCCATTAAATCCATTTAGCACCCATTAGGAAGCACAGAAAGTTCTATGAGAAGTACAACTTGAATATTTTTATACTGAGGTATTGTTGACTCCGAAGGATGTAAGGCATTAATACAAATGAGCTCATCACGTATGTGTTTTCAGTGTGTAAGTGATGTAAAGTCTACTGTAGATACCGCCCCTGCTTGGAGAGATCTTGGGGCTTGTGAATCAAGGCTTCCGATGTCTCTGCTAAGCTCCTCCCATAACTGTGGTAACTACTGACTCACTACCATTTCCTTTTGCTGTCTATGTTTATGGCTACGAGGTCTGTCTGGTATTTATCTATTGTGATTTTATCATTGTCCATGCCAAATGTTAATTGCCAAGCTTGGAGTGACCTAAAGCATTTTCAAAAGCATGACTAGATTTAACTGAGGATAAAGTTTCTGCAGACCAAGTCTGAAAAGCCACAAGTGTCAGTCGTTACAAAATGACATGCTGCCATTGTTGATTGCTACTTGGATGCTCTATTGTATGTGACAAATCTCAATAAAGTCTGTGTATCAGTAGTCTAGGTTTCAGTGTTTATTAAGAGGACAATGGTCTGGATAAAATTTGTATTCTAAAATCAACTGGTATCCTGGAAATTTGTCTCTTTAGAGAAATACTGTGATTTTTCAGTATAACCACTT